GCCCAATTCTTAGGTGGAACACCTTTTTCGGCGTCAACTGATACTACAGTTGATAAGTTGACCGATGTCAACTTGGATCCAGCTTTAGTGCTTATATTCAAAAGATTATCTAAACGTGATACTACTACTAAATTGAAGGCTTTAGAGGAACTCGAAGCATATTTAAGAGGAAAGGAGGATAATGAAACTGATTTGGTCAATATAACAGGTGTATGGGTAAATATTATTTATTTAAATGAAAGAATTTTTTCTTTAACGATATAAAATGGTAGATTTTTTTTTTTTAGGGCAAGTTTTTTGTCAAATTGGCAATTGACGTGGAACGTCGAATACGCTATGCAACATACACTTGTCATTTGTTAATAGTATCTAAGGTTAAAAAACGGCTTGCATCTAGTCTTAAAGAAATAATTGGTGTGTGGATAATATCATTATTTGATCAATACAAGGACGTTGCTCGAGTGGCGATGGAATCTTTTCAAGTTCGTGTCGATTTACTTTTTGTTGACTGTTGAATGTATGTTGAATAATAAAATATTGAATGAATATCTTTTATAATGTAGATGGCTTTTCCTGCCGGAAAGCGAGTCGAAGTTCTAATCTTCTGTCATATGGAAATTTTATCTTATATTTCGGATACGATAATTCACAAAACGCCAGAGACATTAAGTATGAATTATATTGTCCCTGCCAGATTTTATATATTAATTGAAGCTTGTTATTACTTATTAACATTTCTCTCGCTAAAGGTGATCCTAGGTTTACATCAAAAGAAGATATGATTTCAAAATATGATAGAGTTGTTTCTTGTTCATATTACTCTCTTGCGCACTTGATAGGTTCCATCTTTTATAAGTTTATTGTAATCTATTGATTATTTATTTTATTTATTTTATAAATTAATTATTTATTAATTGTAGATCAACTGAATGAAGACTCATTATTAAAAGCTGCACAGCAGTATGATGATTTATTTGATAATCCGAAGACTTGGGCAAATTTAACCAGCAGTAGTCCTCTTGTCCGTAAATCATGTTACAATTTGATAAAGGTTTTGACTAATAAGTGGCCAAGTAAGATCAGTTGCGTTTCAATTATGCCTTCAGTGATATGTGTCAAATACAGTACGGGATATCATATGATATTGAAAAATTTTTATGATAAAGCACTATATTAAATCATTAACCAATTAAAATTTTTGAAATCATATATAAAATTTTCAAAGACTACATGAACTCTGAATTTTTGAAATTCATATAACTTTTCTAAATATTTAAAGACCTTCTTTCAAATTATTAAAGAAATGTTACTAATTTTGACATATATCTCTGATAATTATAACTTTTCAATGTCTTAACCGATTAATTTATTATATTTAAACAGAAAAGGTTGAAGATCGTTTAGATGTTTTTAGCACGATGTATTTAATGAAGATATTTAATGACAAGGATATTACCGTTTATGGCGACTTATGGGACTCTTTATTAGTATTCACTAAGAGTGGGTAACTTTTACTTAAACGAACGATCTTAATGACAGCCAAATATAATGATATTTAACGAAT